GAGGTCATCTAATCTAACTCCTTCATTCTACAGAAAAAGAAATTGAGGCACAGAGCAGTAAAGTGATTTGGCTAAAATTATATAGGAAGTAAATGAGAGAGCCAATAATCAAACCCAGGTCCTTAAGACTAAAAATGTAGTTCTGTTTTCACTGCACCATGCTACTTCCTTTAAAAGTCTGAACTGTGTAACAAATGTGCCATTAGGCATTTGTATATTTTTGTCATCATCATTTTAAAAATAATATCACTGAATTAAAAAGTATATACAGTTTAACAACTTGCAGATTACAGTTCCAAAACATTTTCCAGACTAGCTGAAGGAATTCAATTTTGTTTTTTTAGTGGAAAATGTTATGAGGAAAAATGCTTATTTTGCATGAATTGATTTCTATAGTATGCTCTCCTAGAAGAATATTTTAAATCTAAATTAACTGAATGTGATGTTTTTTATAATAGGCATTTGTCAATATGTCAAAGATCTCTGATTTTAATAGTATGAGAACTGCCTCCTCTGAATGTAGATCACAATACATTATAAATTGTGTCTCAGGTAACTGAGATATAAGATTTTAAAAAATATTTCATGTTATACATTTTTTCCAGACCTGTAATTTTTATTGATGGAGGGAGCTTCCCAGGGAAGCAACTCCCTCTACCAATGCAGATTCTCAACTTGCTCCACAATTTGCTATCTTAGAGAGTTGCCTGGGTACTGAGAAGTGATGTGACTTGGCCAGAATCATAAAAGTAAAGTCAGAAAGGGACTATAAGCCTAGGCTGTGGTGATGCTAAGACTGGCTCTCTATCCACTTTACCATACTGCTTCTCTAAATTGTAACAAGCCAACAAGTTGGTATTTTAGTACTTTGTAGAGAATGCTAGATATCATACCACCTTCCTTCTTTACAAGTACTCTATTCTTTATAGAAAGAAACCTCACAACAGTGATTAACCAAATTATTTCTTTAAAAACAAATCTACCACATTTCATTTCCCTTGATTCCTCTCCTCCCCCATCAAGAAAAGCATAAATAATGTACCTTCCTTCTATATAACTTGGCTTTCTCACTAATAGGAAGAACCAATGTCCTCTTTTCAGTTATTCTAGTTCTAATCTTTGATTTTATGGTCTGCCTTTCCATTCTAAGGCATCCCCTTTGGAGACTGCATCTACTCCAGTGGCTTCAACTCAATTTAAATTTCTTTAGCCCCCAATAGACTGATTTCAAAATTTTGGCTATAAACACTCCATCTTTAAAATCCATACAGGGCTTTTTTCTAAAGGTCACCACTAGGGGGAGTTTTTTTTACCCATGCTATGAATTTCATTACTTTTCTAGAGTGGGCATTCACGACATAAGGATGGAGTTTCTAAATAAGAAATTGTGCTAACATATATATTCCTAATTTCCAAGGATACCTAAAATAGCATCTAAGTGAGTACTCCAGGGCTGTTGAGTATTACTGGAAGCAGTCACAAAATTATACTGAGCTAGAAGATTACAAATTCATGTTCTCTAGCCACAGGTGTGACTTGTGCTTCTGAGCAAACCTTTTCTTCAGCTCTTACAAAAATCCTCTAACAATCTCCAAAGCAACTGTTTCACGTCTTTTTCTCTATTCTTAAATCCCCAGGTCCACTGGTAGTCTCTCCCACACCAAACAAATGACCTCTCTCATTTTTAGTGACAAGAACAAAGTCATGCAACACTCATTTATGTAATGTCCTTCTTCAACACTTCTGTGACTAAATATAAACTTCCCTTCTCTATTTTTTTTGAAAGAAAAAAAGACCAACCTCCTTACCAAGACCACCAGCTAGACCTTCATCCCATATCCATAGGAGGTAGAGTGGATTGAATGTTGACCCCTGAAGCCAGAAGACCAGCATTCCATCTTGGCTTCTACTTTAATATTTATGTGGCTTTGGGCAAGTCACTTTAGAGAAGAGTGATCTTTCTAAATGGCTTCTGAGGCCCCTTCCATAGCTCCAGATCTATGATCCCACCTCTCCAGTAATTGTGCCCCCTTCAATCTTTCTGACTACTGGCTACTTTTTGTTTTCATATCAATATAGCCAGGTTTCCCCAATTTAAAATATTCCTTCCCTCAACTGTTTTACTTTACTTGAGTTACATCACATCTCTCTCTTCTCTTTGAGTGAGAGCTTTCTTGAAAGAATATTTTCAAATTTCACTCCTTAATAATCCCTTGAAATCTGGCTTCCATCCCCATCATCCTGCTGTAACTACTTATGCTGAAGTCACCCTCTAATTGCCAAATACAATGGCATTTTTTTCAGCCCACATTTTTTTTTTACTTATTTGCAACAGGAATACCTTTTTATTCATAAGACTATTTCTTTGGCCTTTGGGATACTAGATACTCTTGGTTTTCCTGTTATCTTACAACTTATTCCTCTGCCCTCCTTAGTGGTCCTTCTCTCTTTAGCATCCCTTTCCAAAAACTCTATTCTTTAAGCTGTTCTGTCCTGCCCACTGATCTGGTTCTATGATCTGCACACTTCCCACTCTATTTTCTCCCAGATAATTCCTGTGCATTCAAACTTATATTTCCATGTCCCAAACTTTAGGCTCTGAGTATTTCCAACTGCTACCTGAATGTTCTGCCAACAGCTCAAATTCAACATCTCAAAACCAAAATCACTGTATTTACTTCACATCTAGTTTTTTTCTAGGGGAAAGTCTAGTTTTTACCCATTCCTGTTAATGATACCACTATTTTGCCAGTTACCTGTACCACTCAATATTTCTTGAATTAGCTCCCTTCCTTCCATTCCCATGCTACCACTTTCTCTAGTCTACATCCTCATTACTACTCACCTTGCCTGGCCTCTTAACCAGCTTCTGTTCTTCCAGCGTTCCTACTAATCCATTTTTCACACTACTGCTTGATTAATATCCCAATGAAGATATATAATCAAGAGACTCCACTCTGCTCAAACCATGCAATGACTCCCTATTGACTATAAAATACAAACTCTTTAACCTGACATTCAAAACCTTCCTATCTCTGCCTCCTAGCTTCCTTCAAGTCCCAGCTAAATTCCTACCTTCTACAGGAAGCCTTTTCTGATCTTAATGCTAGTGTCTTCCCTCTGTTGTTTATTTTCAATTTATCCTTTATATACCTTGTTTGTACATAGTTGTTTGCATATTATCTCCCCCAGTAAACTGTGAGTTCCTTGACAGCAGGAACTGTCTTTTACCTTTCTTTGTGTCTTCAGCACTTAACACAATGCTTGGCACATAATAAGCACTTAATGTATACTGACTGACTGACACTATTCCCTTTCATACAAGCTATATTAAAATTGACTAATTACTTATTCTGGAACTTACCCTAGACTTTGTGCTTTCATGTCTTTGCATTTCTTATTCCTTCAGTGTCCTCCCAATACTTCACCTGAAGGCATTCCTTTTGAAATCTACCTTTGTTTCATACTTTAAGTCCTGGCTCAAGTGTCAAGTGTTTTCCAAGAAGCCATTGTTTTTCTTTCCAGTTGGAAATGATTTTTACTGCGATCTCACATAGCATCCCATATTTCTTTTATGTCCCTATCATACTCTATTCTGCATTGCAGTTATTCTATAATTATTAGTGGTTGAAAATTTATCTTGTTCTTATTTGTAGCATAGCTATTTGTGAATAGGTTTACCTTCCCCATAAGCTACTTGAGGGTAGTAGCTGACTCCTGTTTAGTTTCTGTATCTCTCAAGAGTACATAGTTGGCACTTAATAATAAATGCTTACTAAATTAACTTGACTTGATGAATTAACATTCTGAACAGAAAGGCAGACTGATTAATTTTAATAGTCCTATGAAACCAAGGTGAATAGTTTCATCAAATCCACAAAGAAATCGGAAACAGAGAAAATAGTAGATTCTGCCAATTATACCACGTACATGAATTATCCCTCAGCTCTCTTAAGGTTCCAGTTTAAATTAGTCCAGATCTGTTTTGTCACATTTCTTGGGGGATTGGTCCAAACTATAATAGTAAGGTCGAGCTGGTTGGAGAAATCTTAAACAAAGACTCTCCAATAAACAGTTGAGAAGTGTGCCATGTACACCTAATGCTAGGAAGATTCTACTTCTGAATCCTGAGTGAGACTCCAGGCTTGAACCATGGGGTCATAATCTTTAACTATTTTGGACTCTGCACATATGTTGCACTGCCAAGAATCTATATTTGCTGTAGGACTGTTAATTATTGTTGTTTATTCCCACTCTGAGAGAGATAAAAGGAATAGTTATCAGAAAAAAGAATGGTTTCTGGGCAGTAAATGTGCTTTATAACTTCATAAAGCAAATAAGTAGTACTTATACCTAAACTTTCTCTTTCTTCAATATCTAAAAGAAAAGAGCTCAACTCAGGAACTATATGAACACAATTACAAAACACTTTTCACACAAATAAAGTCAGATCTAAATAATTGGAAAAATAGTCATTGCTCATGGGTAGGCCGAGCCAATGTAATACAGATGATAATTCTACCTAAATTAATTTACTTATGTAGTGCCATGACAAACTACCAAAAAATTATTTTATAGAGCTAGAAAAAAATCATAACAATCATAAGAATCACAACAAAAGGTCAAGAATATTAAGGGAATTAATGAAAACAGATGTGAAGGAAGGTGGCCTGTCTGTACCAAATCTTAAATTGTATTATAAAGTTGTAATCATCAAAACTATATGGTATTCGGGGCAGCTAGGTGGTGCAGTGGATAGAGCAGCGGCCCTGAAGTCAGGAGGACCTGAGTTCAAATCCGGCCTCAGACCTTACTAGCTGTGTGACCTTGGGCAAGTCACTTAACCCCAATTGCCTTTAAAAAAAAACAAACAAAAAAACTATATGGTATTCCCAGCTTCTGGGTCACGAATTAAAGGGACAGTGTCTGATCAATTACCACTCTGGAGCTGGAAGAAACCTTAGCCCCAGCTTCGTGCCCAACCCCCTCATTTTTTACAGGTGCTTTCTGGCCCAGCCCACCCATAGCCACCATAGTGCCCTGGGATGGCCCCCAGAGGGAATCCTGCTCTGAGTATCATGCAGGAGGACAAGCCTGGAGCTTCATCTTCTTCAGTGGTAAAAGAGAGCCAGACTAGACCGACTGTGATGTTCCATGTTCTATGTTCCAAGGTCTCTCCTGGTTCAAATGTTCTGTATTATATGATCTGAGGTCTCTCCTAGTTCTGATGTTCTGTCCCAGGTTCCTTCTGTCTCTGATGTTTTATGCTCTAAGGTCCATCCTAGCTCTGACCTTCAGTGCTCCAAGGTTCTTTCTCCCTCTCATATTCTATGACCCACAAAAAGCAGTATTTATAAAACATGAATATTTTACGAAAAGACCAGCCTTGAGGCTCCTCTAAGAAGCAGGTTCCCTAAAATAAGCAAACAATGCTTGCTGAAACCACAGCAGTAGAACCTACTTACAAAGGCTTGGGTTTGCTCACACCAGGGGTCCCCCCAGACTTAGGTCCATAAAAGGTGTGTCCACTTATGGCTCCCACAGGTGGATGGGCGGCTTCCCCACCCTCCAGTCTCAATCCTACACATTCAATTAAAAAAATTTAAAAATAAAAAAAATTTAAAAACTATATGGTATTGGCTAAGATATAAAGTGGTGGATTAGTGAAATCGATTAGGTACACAAGACTCAATAGTAAATGACCACAGTAATCTAGTGTTTGATAAACCTAAAGACGCCTGCTTTGGGGACAAGAACTCACTACTTGACAAAAACTGCTGAGAAAATTGGAAAACAGTATGGCAGAAGCTAGGTATAGACCAACACCTTTTATCACATACCAAGATGAGATCAAAATGGGTACATGATTTAAATATGAAGGGTGATACGGTAAATTAGGAGTGCAAGGAATAGTTTACCTGTCAGGTCTATGGAGAAGGGAAAAATGTATGACCAAACAAGATAGAGAGCATTACCAGATGTGAAAGGGACAATCTTAATTATATTAAATTGAAAAGTTTTTACACAAACAAAACCAATGCAACCAAGCCTGGAAGGAAAGGAGAAAGCTGGGGAATAATTTTTATAGTAAGTGTCTCTGAGAGAAAGGCCTCATTTCTCAAATACATAGAGAACTGATTCAAATTTATAAGAATACAAGTCATTCCCCAATTGATAAATCTTCAAAGGTAATTTTCAGACAAAGAAATGAAAAGCTATCTATAGTCTTAAGAAAAAAATGCCCTAAATCTCTATTGATTAGAGAAATGCAAATTAAAACAGCTCTGAGGTACTATCTCCCTTTTATCAGATTTGCTAATATGGCAGAAAAGGAAAATAATTAATGCTGGAGGGGATATGGGAAAATTGGGATACTAATGCACTGTTGGTAGAGTTGTGAATTGGTACGACTATTCTGGGAAGCAACTTGAATTTTGCCCAAAGGGCTCTAAAATAATGCATACTCTTATCTAACAATACTACTATTAGGTCTGTATCCCAAAAAGGTTAAAAAATAGGGGGTGTATAAAAATATTTATAGTAGCTCTTTTTGTAGTGGCAAAGAATTGGAAACTGAGGGGATCCTCCTCATCAATTGGGGAATGGGTGAACAAGTTGTGGGATATGATTGTAATGGACTATTACTGTGCTATAAGAAATGATAAGCAGGCTGGTTTTAGAAAAACCTGGAAAGATTTATATGAACTGATGCAAAGTAAAGTAAGCAGAACCAGGAGGATTTTGTGTACAGTAACAATAATACTGTATGATGATTAAATGTGAATGACTTAGCTATTCTCAGCAATACAATGATCCAAGATAAATCCAAAAGATTCATGATGAAAAATGCTAATCACATCCAGAGAAATAACTGATGGAGTCTGAATGCAGATCAAAGCATATTATTTTTCACTTTCTGCATTTTTGTGTGTGTGCTTTTTTTCCCTTTGAATTTGTGTCTTCTTTCACAACATGACTAATATGGTAATGTTCTATGTGAGTGAATATGTATAACCTGTATCAGAATGCTTACTGTCTTAGGTGGGGAGGTGAGGGATGAAGAGAGAAAATCTGGAACTCAAAAAAATTTTTAAATGAATGTTAAAAATTGTCTTTACATGTAAGTGGGGAAAAATATTATTTAAAAAAAGAAAAGAGTCTATTGTTGTGGTAACAACTGGCAAAGATTCTCTACGATCAATATATCATCCCAAATTATTTTGAACAACTGTTATACAGAACAGTGGGAATCCCTCCTCTGCCTGGATGCTATACTACATCTTCTCTAGCACACTGGTAAATATTTTTGGTGAGCATAAATCTCCCTGTTTGATGCCTGACCTAATGTTTATTATCAGAGAGGCTCATCAAGCAATATTATTTCTGTTTATATCTTCCAAAGAATCCTGAGTGATCTTGACATATGAAAAGTATATCTTATTGTAAAAGAGCCTAAATGGCTGGTTTTTGTCCTACTGAGTTGAATGCTTTTATGTAATCAACAAACAATAAGCACAATGGGATCTTATATGCCCTACATCTTTCAGTCAATTGTGAAATTGTAAAGATGTGACTTTGGATGTTGTTTGAAAAAAAAATCTGCTTTTCTGTACTAATATCCTCATTAAGAATGGGGTGTGTGTGTGTGTGTGCGTGTGTGTGTGTGTGTGTGTGCGTGCGCGTGAAAAACACCTTCATTCGTTCATGTCAATAAATATCTATTAAATGGCTACTTTGTGCCAGGCACTGTGCTAAGCACTGGGAATACAAACATGAAAAAGTAAAACAGGGAAAGCCCCACCTCAGCATACCAGAAGGAAATCCTGAAGGCCAGGTGGTGGAGCAGGCAAACACCAACACCAGGACCCCTGAGTGCCTCAGTGAGGGTGGGGGAACTGGTGGAAATCAGCTTGGAAAACCACCAGGTGCCTGGGCATCCTACAGTAACCGGCTGTCCCAGTGCCTCAGCAAAACTAAGGGAAGCAACACTCCAAAGGGCCCTAGGCAGATGAACATCCTGCAACATCCATCTGAAAGGAGCTGAAGAAAGCAAAAGAAAGGAACAGCCTGGGTAAGCAGGAAATCTCCAGGAGCCACACTACCCAATCCTACCTCTAGAGTTCCAGTGCTGCTGATTCCAGCCCAATACCAGGTAAGCTTCCAGAACCCTACAACCTCCAACTGCCAGCATTGGAGGCCCCAGCACACAAAGCCAGTGACTAGGCCCTAGGATCCCAACACAAGAAGCTTGGGTCACTGCCCTCTGCTCCCCCAGCAGGAGAGCTCAATCTTTTTAAAGGCCAGGAAATAAGCAAACACCATGAGCAAAAAGAAACATATGATAGATTCTTATTATGGGAAGAGAGAAGATCAAGGCAGAAATTCTGAAGAAGACAACATTGTCAACAAACCCACATCTGGAACCTCAAAAGGGAATTATGAACTGATCTGAAGCCCAAAAAGCCTTCTTAGAAGAGCTCCAGAAGGATTTTAAAAGTTGAATGAGAGAGGTAGAAGAAAAAAAGGGAAAAGAAATGAGAGGTATGCAAGAGAGAGTCAGTAGCTTGGAAAAGAAAGGACAAAAATTAATTGTAGAAAAAAAGTCCTTAAAAAATACAGCTGGCCAACTGGAAAAAAAAAGTACACTGAAGAAAACAAGTCCCTAAAAAATACAATTGGCCAAATAGGGAAGGAGGTACAAAATTTAATAGAAAACAATTTGTTAAAAATTAGAATTGGACAAATGGAAGCTAATGACTCTATGACAGAGCAAGAATCAGTCAAACAAAAACAAAAGAATGAAAAAATAGATGAAAATGTAAAATACCTCACTGGTAAAACAACTGACTTGGAAAATCAATCCAGGAGAGACAATTTAAAAATTATTGGTCTACCTGAAAATTACGATTAAAAAAAAGCCTGGATAGTATGTTTCAGGAAATCATAAGGGGAAAACTGCCCTGAGGTCCTAGAACCAGAGGTTAAAATAGCCATAGAAAGAATCCACTGATCACCTCCCGAAAGAGATCCCAAATTGAAAACATCAAGGAATATAGTAGCCAAATTCCAAAATTACCAGGTCAAAGAGAAAATACTGCAAGCAGCCAGAAAGAAACAATTTAAATATCATGGAACCACAGGACCTTGCAGCTTCTACATTAAAAGACCGTAGGGTGTGGAATATGACATTCCGTAAGGCAAAGGAGCTTGGATTACAACCAAGGATCAACTACCCAGCAAAAACCGTGCATGATCTTTCAGGAAGTAGATGGGTATTCGGTGAAATAGGGGACTTCCATACCTTCCTGATAAAAAGACCAGACCTCAACAGAAAATTTGATCTTCAAATACAAGACTCAAGAGAGACATAAAAAGGTAAATTGGACAGAAAGAAACAACATGTTATTAATAAGGGCAAACTGTTTATATCCCTACAAGGGAAGATGACACTTGTAACTATTGAGAACTGTATTGTTATTACACCTTGTTAAAGGGGTATGCATAAAGGGAGTGGGTATAAATTGACTTTGATGTAATGATAAAAAAAATCTAATCAAGTGGGTTAAATGGATCCAAGTAAGTGGATTAATCTTATCTAACTAAGAAAATGTACTGAGAGAAAAGGAAAGGAGGCAGAGAAGGATAAATTACATTACAGGAAAAGGCACAAAAACCTATTACAGCAGAGGGAAAGAAGGGAGGGAGATAAGCATTGTTTGTTTGAACCTTACTCTCATCAGATTTGGCTCAAGAAGGGAATAACATAATCAGTTAGGTATAGAAATCTAACATGCCCTACAGGCAGTAGGAGGGAAAAGGGGAAAGAAAAAAGGAGCAGGGATAAAAGAGAGGGAAGAAGTAGTAAGTGTAAAGGGTAAGAAAAGGTAGGGGGCTAACAGAAGGGACGTGGGACTGAGGGAGGTGGTGGTCAAAAGCAAAACATTAGGAATGAAAAGGAGAAAGAAAAACATAAACGGGGGGGAAAGGATGGAAAGAAAGACACAAATAGTAATCATAAC